TCTGATTCCTGAAAGCCGGTTCAGTGCTGCTTGCAGGTCTAGTTATTATAATTATTATTTATCCCGGGAGCCTATTTCTCCATGATCGAAAACAGATATCGATCTGGAACCAAATATTCTATTGGGAAACCAGGTGGTGGTTACTCCTTAAAACAATTTTGAAACTTCTGCGCATACCGGAAGTTACCCAATTTTGTACTTTTTTCGCGATATTGAAAATTGACCGTGGTTTCGTCAATTCTTTACCTATTTTCAAACAAATGACATTTTCGGAAACCCAGAATCCTTTCCGAGATAATGGCTATCTCACATTTTTCAATTTCGAACATTCATCTATGGCTTTTGTCGTTCTAATTTTGAAAATACGTTGTTTACGAGACAATTTTTGTTATTTTTCAAAATTTTCAAATTTGACCTACATTTTTGGATACCTGAAGACAATCCGATTCCAGAAATATAAGTTTCATTCCGAGTTATCGCCCTTTATTTTTCGATTTTGTTCGAATTTTCTGCCCATTTCCCAACCCTTATATTTTTGGGAAAGGATAAATCGATATTTCTGAAAGTCCTGGAACATAAAGCTATATAGTCAGACCGCTGCATAAAGCAATTTCAACAACGGTCCGGAAACCGGAAGTAGTCGAAATAATGTCCGATATTTCGGAAAAAATTCAAAAAATGGGTGTTTTGGAGAAAAACTCGATTTCTGTGTCCAATATCAATGGATTAAACAAATTAAGCTTTCGTTGAGTGGCCCGGGGAATGGACTGTCGTATGATGCCCAATTTATACGGATAGTATGAGCAAGCAGCAAAATATGACATGCTGAAAATCAAGTATTTTCTGATTTGGGGCGTTTTTGGACGCCTGTATCTCGAAATCTTAACCGCAACTTTTTTTTTAACTTTCTCTATCGAGAGTCCATTCGATAGTCTTGTGTCACAAAATTGTTTATAACATCTTCCCTTGCCGAGAAATAACCCATTTTGTCAGGATCACTTTTTAAGATTTTTCGCATTTAAATTTCAGTGTATGGGTTCTGGGTTAATTATTTATTGCCTGATTTGTGTAAAAGAAAAGCCCACCTGGTGCAAATTCTCAATTTACTTCTACCTATAAAAGTTTCTGTTGGCACCGGAAGTGACGTAATTTTGCCTAAAACTTCAATTTTGACTTGTCAAAAGGTCTTTTAAAAAGCAAATATTAATGTTTACAAATCTAATAGATCAAGATGAATGCTCATACTAAAGATGCAAAATATGTCTTGCTTTGTTTTTGGGGTTTTTTTTATTTCGGTTTTGCATTTCCATTATTTTGATTTAAACCTGAAAAAAAGGTGTAAAAATGAGCTATTTACAATGCATTCAGGCTTTTCATATTTTAAAATATTTCTTCACAACTTTCACGAACCTGTAGCATTAATCCATACGATGACAATGTATGTCAAAATTAGTTTTTAATATTAACAGTTGCCGAGAAATAGGCAATTTTACATGAGTCTCTTTTCACGTTATTTTGCCTGTAAAAGAGTTAATTATAATCCGATTTTCTTTTTTTTTTCACCATATGATGCCTAATGCCATTTTTGACTGGGCGGATCCAATTTTACATTTTCAGTGTCACCGGAAATGGCGTGATATGGGCAAAAACTGTATTTATAGCCTTCAAAACAGATATTTTATTCAAATGAGTCTGATTTGTAATGTTTTTAAATCTATGACATTTGATTGCAATCAACAAATAGAATGAACTAATACGATCATACCGATACCACAAAATGGTTCCTAACTTTTATGGTTGCAGGGAAATAGACGATTGTCTACAAGTCACTTTTCAAGGTTTTTGGTCTATAAAAGTGTCAATTATTATTTGATTTTCATAAAATTTTCACCATGTGATGCCTGATGCCATTTATGATTTCATGGAACTAATTTAACATTTTCATTATCACCGGAAGTAATGTCGTTTTGGCAAAAACTGTATTTTCAGCCTTCAAAACAAATAGTTTATGTAGTGAGTTATATTTATTATTCGTTTAACATTATGATATTTGATTCCAATGAAGATATAGATTGGATCAATACGATCATATAGATGTCCAAAAATTGCTTCTACCATCTTTCTTTGTCGAGAAATAACCAATTTTGTCAGGATCACTTTTTAAGACTTTTTTCACATTTTAAGTTCCATTAGATATTCAGCTAACTTAGTGGTAAGTTAGTAATAAATTTTGTCAGCATCACTTTTTATACTCCCAGTCGACGCCCCCGTCCGTCCATCGGTCCGGTGTCCACAACTGCTTGTGGATGCTCTAGAGGCCAAAGTTAATATCCGATTGACCTTAAATTTATACACAGTTTTTAAGGTCTTGAGATGAACCAGCCTATTGATTTTCAGCAAATTCCGATAATTACTGCCAGAGTTATGGCCCTTGATCACTTCAAAAAATCTTGTGGACGCTCTAGAAGCCAAAGTTAACATCCGATTGACCTTAAATTTATACACAGTGTTTAAGGTCATGAGAAGTAGAAGCTTATTGATTTTCAGCGATTTCCGATAATTACTGCCCGAGTTATGGCCCTTGATCACTTTGAAAAATCTTGTGGACGCTCTAGAGGCCAAAGTTAATATCCGATTGACTTTAAATTTATACACAGTGTTTAAGGTCATGAGACTAAGAATCCTATTCTGATAATTACTGCCAGAGTTATGGCCCTTGATCACTTCAAAAAATCTTGTGGACGCTCTAGAGGCCTAAGTTATTATCCGATTGACCTTAACAATATGTAACTGTGCACATTGACTTGTATTAAGTACACATTCCAGTTTGACAGCTAGATAAGCTGGGTTTTTTCATTTAAGTTTATGTTTTTCTTTCTTGTTACTATGGTGCATATGAATAACTAGTCAAAATACCATCAAAATCAGTTTTATTTTTATTTTCTCTTCTGAAATGGAAAAAAAATATTTTCGCCCGAGAAACGGGAAAATAAATTGGTGTGGACTAAGGTTTAATTAATAAGATGTGTTTGTTAGATGTTTCCTTCAAAGATTTGTTACTGTGTTTACGGATAATGCAATGGAAATTTTGCTTGTGTCTTTGATAATTATTGGAAATGGAATGGGATTATATTATCAAGGATATTTGTCATCTATTGTATGAGTATAGTAACTACTTTCTACATGCATTTACGTGTTAAACCACAAGTAATTTTTTTGTAAGAAGGGCACAATTTCCTCCATTATTCAACATTTATATTAATGGTGTAACTTATGCCATTTTATGTCATTTACGAGAAACGATACAGTTAATTTTCTATTGTTTTGTAGAGCCTTTTAATAAACCATGTGAGAGACGTTAATACAGTAGACTCCACATATAACGACTGCGCATACTATGGACAATCGCTTATAATTATTCAAAACAGTTTGGTCCTGATTTTTGTAATAGAAATTTCTTATTTTCAAAGTCTTTTATAGCGGACACTGTATAACAGACAACCGTTTATAACGGACGATTTTCATGGTCACTAATCGACAAATCAATGTAAAAGTCCAGTAATGATGATATTACTGATTTTATTATCGGTGACCGGACTACTTTTCCCAGAAAATATCCATACTGATCTTACGGGAAACATGTGAATACTACATGCAGGGCTGGCCACGAATAAATTGATGGCGAGCACATCACTGCTCACGCAAATTTAGGTTTGGGCGCGCAAGGCGAGCAATAAAAATTGCTCACGCAAAATGTTGTTTGCGTGAGCACACATTTTGTAACATTATTTCAATTTAAAATCATAAGAAATTGCTATTCCAGGCTTTGCAGTAAATATGTGTGACCATCGCTTTCTGTTTTTGACAGTCATACGACTCTTCTTTAAAACCAATTTCCGTATGGATTTCTTCACCCCACGACATAAATGTGGATAGGGCAATCAGGTTTCCTTTGGCCATTATTACGCTCAGATTGAAAATTATACGACGGCACAATGGAATAAAAACCGAAGTTCTGATAAAATAAGAAATACCGATAAATATTAGTTTGAAACGTGTTTATTTAGCGTGAATGCCAAATGCCGGATGTAAACATTCTTTACTTTAGACTCGATTATCACGCGTTTGTTACTGGTGTTCGTAGGAAAATCAGTCATGACGTTCAGGTCTCAAGTGTATTTTTAGTAACACAAGTGGCGAGTAACTTCATTAGCCAATCAAATTTAAGGAGGAAATGCCGCGTGCAGCTGGGTGAATCTCAGTTTGACAGACGAATTTATGACGTTATTGACATTGTTGGGTTAGTTTCGGCAATAAACTTGTCAATATTTTGATTTTTTTACAGGTTTTTCTTAAAATTTTGCGCGAGCAACGAACCGCTCGCGTAAATGTAGATTTACGCAAGCACAGCGCGAGCGCGAGCAATTGCTCGCGTCTCGTGGCAAGCCCTGACATGACTTTTATGTAAATACATGCATGTTCTGTAGATTCTGCATATGATAAATGTTGTTATTTCATGGGATGGTGTTTGTTACCTTCTGATTGCTAATTCAGGGTCGACAGCAGATTTTTTGTATAACGGACACCGTTTATAACGGACAATTTCTTCCGGTCCGGAGGTGTCCATTATATGCGAAGTCTACTGTATTTTCTTTTGTGTTTTGTGTTGGCCTATTTCAAATAACTATAAACTCATTGGCCAATTATCAAATATACAAAAAATATCACAGATGGAAAACACATATAAAAACTTAATTTTTGTAACCAATCAACATTGCACAGGGTAAATACATCAGGAATATTGCCGTTTCGATAGGTCTATACAGTGCGTGATCCACGTTCTGTAGTTAATGACAACAGTAAATTTTATCTATGTGTTATATAGGGGAGTATTGATTTTTCCCAAATTCCCGAAATCAGAGAGGGGGTACGTGTTATACATGGCAGCATGTTATACGCAGGTGTTTACAGTATATCTAACAGACGGAAGAATTACAAACCTTCTTGGATGTCTTTTGTCTTCTTCGGCGATTAAAAACCAGACGAATTCCGTATAACTCATCTTACCTTCTTGAAATGTACTACCACTAAAATAACAAATGTTAAAAATAATATAAATCACAAAAACAAAAATCCACGTTTATATAAAACTGAATGCTATTAATAACAAATTCATTGTGTCATTTTAGCACAATAGAAATCCCTTGCAAACTACAATATCGTAAAAGATGAATCTCTAATAGGAATATCGGTCCAAAAATGGTTCAATTCCGTTCAGTATTTACAAAGATATGTTAAATTGAAATTTCATCAATCTGTTCAGCTTGCTATTTAATAAGCCTGCCACCAATTCGTTGTGCGCAAACAGATTTGATAGGAAAGGACTATCCTAAATCGAATAAATCCAAGCTTATTTTGCTTTTGCTTTTTTAAACATAGCCTACATTATGCAAGAGCTAAATCTGCCTATTGCGGAACTTTCTTTGGGCCTGAAATGTTATATAAACTATTAATTAGACATTTATTAACATGAAAAGACCTTAATCAACTCTTGATGTCATCTTATGTGTCAGATTTTCAATTGATTTGAATCTGATTTGCGGCTTAACGCTCATTGATGATTTAATCCAAAATTGATAATCAAGACTATGTTTTTATCGTACCAACCTTAGTAATGATGGTCGAGGCTAGGCCTAAAATTTAAATGGTAATATATCGGTTCAGAGTGGAGCAATTTGACTGACATTTTCAGAATATTCCCTTTACATTATCCTGTTTTTAACTATTATAGTGAGAACTGCCAGCTCTTTATCTAATCTTCCATAATGTATCTTTAATTAAATGTTAAATAATCGATCTTAAGTACATATTAGCGTGAATTAAGCGATGAGAAATTTGATATTTCAACGAACAATAGATATCAAAAGGAACTAAGATCTTTGGGTTATAAACATACAATCAGCGCCCATAATCCATGAAGTTATGGTCTGATACATGCCAATTTAAAAAAGAACTGAGATCTTTGAGATATAAACCTGTATTTCAAGTTTTATCAAAATCGGATAAAAATTGTTATCTCTAGAGGGTCCACAACCTTGGTATTACATACATTTACACAAGAGCTTCCACTTCAAAATTTTCACTGCCGGTCATTTTTGATAAAACACGAAAACTTTGCAAAGTAAATTCATATTTCATGTTTTTCATTCATGGTAAGGTATTGGGAATTCACGTGTTTATACCACTTTGTCAGCATGGGGTACACAAAAATTATATATTGGGACTTAAAAATGAAATATTAGTAAGGCTTATGATAATTATTTATTAATTAACTGGATAAAAATTCAGACCTCTTAGAAGGTCCACAAACTAAAATCACGATTTTTGGGACAATCAGGGGCCGTTATACAGAAAGTTACAGTCTGATACTCGTGAATAGCGAAAGGCACCCAGATCTTTGTAATATAAATCTATATTTTAAGTTTCATCAAAATCTGATAAAATTGTGACCTCTAGAGGGTCCACAAGCTAAAAACATGATTTTCGTACAATCACGGGCCATAATCCAGGAAGTTAGGGTCCGATATACAAAAGTATCGAAAGGAACCCAGATCTTTGTAAAATCTGATAAAAATTGTGACCTCTAGAGTGTCCACAACCTAAATACGGTACGACACATGGCAATATCGAAAGGAACCAAGATCTTTGGGAGATGAATTAAAATTTGATTAACATTGGATAAAAACTGTGACCTGTAAAGTGTCCACAAACAAATTGTGGACGGACGGACAGGGGCGATGACAATATACGTCCACATGAAAATGTGATATACAATAATTAATAGAATACAACATCAAGGATAGGTTGCCAGGCAACAAAACATACGCCCACAGCAGCTAAGTGGTCGGAGCAGTCATTAAGGGTTGTCACATATTTTTTCTTTGTCAGTAATGAAAACATATACAACACACTAAAATCTGATTACGAGTACTACCCATTAAGTAATTATCAGAATTTGTTTCGATTGTTTGTCTCATGACTTTAAACACTGTGTATAAATTTATATCAACTTTAGCATCTAGAGCGTCCACAAGATTTTATAAAGTGATCAAGGGCCATAACTCTGGCATTAATTATCGTAAATTGTTGAAAATAATAGGCTTCTTCGTAGGGTTGTCACGATTAATCGGTTTAGTCGTAGTCGATTCGGTTTCTAGCTCAAACCGATTCACATTTTGAAAAATCGGTAGTCGTTTCATCCAATTTATATTGATACTATTACATATAATGTTTGACTTTTATTTACACTTCCGGTGCCACATTACCCTTGAACTTATGTCACTTACTGTACAAATGAATCCAATTTATATTGATACAATTACATATAATGTTTGACTTTTATTTACACTTCCGGTGCCACGTTACCCTTGAACTTATGTCACTTCCTGTACAAATGAAACCATATAAAATGGATGCAGAATCAACCAAATCCAGCAATCAATTCATTTTATACATTTGTTACATGTAAAAAGTAAGTGATCCTGACATAATAACATTGCTTCCAGTGATAATGAAAATGTTAAATTAGTTTTATGAAATCAGAAATGGCATCATCACATGGTGAAATGTTTATGTAAATCGAATAATATACTCAGCCAAATTAAAAACTTGACACTGATGAATTTCAACAAATTTTTTTTCTGGTAAGTCAAATAAATTTTAAAGTGTTTCTAACGATAGTAAGTAGTAAGAAGCCTTTTATTTCATAAAATTGTAAAGTCACGTGGATCACGTGACTTTTGAGCATATAAAGATGAAAAACCTGAAAAACACGTGCAAACACACAAACTCGTGAGGTCAATCGATGCAAGTTTGCTTAAACTGAACACGCACACGTAACTTGAACTGGAAAAACAAATTAAAATTGTTATTTTCATCTTTGTTAGAAAATGCCGCGCCCTTCAAATGTAGAACGTCTACGTGCTATAGGTAGGCTCTATGCTGGTCAGTCTGTGGTCACTGTTGCAAGAGCCTTTAATTGTTCACGCCGGACAATAATTAATATTAGAATGAGAGTGCTTCAAACTGGAACTATTGCCGACTGCCCAAGGGCGGGAGCGCCACGCGTGACGTCACTCCAGGAAGATCAAGCAATACGATTACGTCATCTTAGAAACAGATTTGTCACTGCAACCTCCACAAGTAGAGATGTTTGGTGGAAAGGTAACTGCACAAACTGTTCGAAATCGCGTGCAGGCTGCTGGTCTTCGAGCTCGGAGGCCCTATAATGGACCAATATTGACACCTCTTCATCGCCGTAACCGACTTGTGTGGGCCACAAGACACATAAGATTTACTCAAAGACAGTGGAATTTGGTTGTCTTTAGTGACGAATCTCGATTCACTTTGAGATTTGCCGATGGCAGGGTCCGAGTGTACCGCAGACGAGGTGAAACGTTACGCTCAAGTATGCGTCAGAGAAGTTGACCGATTTAGTGGCGGCAGCGTCATGGTTTGGGGTTCTTTTTTTGCACATGGACGTTCTCCTCTTGTTGTTGTCCAAGGGAACTTAAATGCTGTCCAGTACAGGGATCAGATTTTGCAACCTGTTCTTCTTCCGTTTATGCAGAGACATGGGCCTGGACTAACGTTTCAACAAGACAATGCTCGACCCCATACAGCAATTGCTACCCAGATTTTTTTTAAAAATGCCGGTGTCCAAGTCCTGGATTGGCTGTCGCTTAGCCCCGACCTTAATCCTATTGAACACATCTGGGACGAACTGGGTCGACGTGTTCGTCAGCAAGTGAATCCACCACTGACGTTGCATGACCTTCAACATGCTCTTGCTGAGCAGTGGCGACGTCTTCCTCGGGTAGTGTTTACTAATGTTCTGAGATCCATGAGAAGACGTTGTGTGGCAGTACGAGACGCTAGAGGAGGCCACAACCGTTACTAAACACTTTATTCCTCCGATTGTTCTCCAAGTCTGTGAATTTCATTTTGGGGAGTACTGTGACATCACGAACGTTATCAATGTCAAGGACTTTCGGCAAGACGTATTCTTGCTTTCTGTTGATGTCAAGGTCGTCTGTGCACAACATAACACTAAAATAGTTGCCTTAAACCAAATATTAAAAATCTAGTCCCAAAAATCCTGAGTGTCAAGTTTTTAATTTGGCTGAGTATAATTGCCACTTTTATAGACTAAAAACCTTGAAGAGTGACTTGTAGAAAATCAAATTGTTTGTCTCATCTTCAAACTCCATCAAGGCATTGACCTAATAAACACCTACACCAAGTTTGAACATTCTAGCTCAATTAGAAAGAGAGTTATTGTGTCCCAAAAAGTGTGACCATTTTAATAGTCCCCTGCTTTCTTCGAAAGGGGGGGGGGAACAAAAAAAAAAGATATATGTATATAAAGAACATTTACATTAAAAAGTAGATCCACAATTAAAAGAAATAACTGGAAAAATGTCTAAGAACAAAACAAAAATTTAAAATTCCTTAAATGACTGTAAAATAGTAATTAAAACGGATAATATTCTATGCTAAAAAGATGAGTTTTTAATAGGGATTAAAGTGACAATGCATTAGGGATGTTTAAAGGTGTGGTATTCCAAAGACGAGGGACGGCAGAGAAAAAGAACCTCACAACTGGCAATATTTTGAAAGAAAACAAGATGACTAGTCATCATATCCCGCAAATTTGCACTTGTTTGGAGGGCATAAGGAAAGATTCGTTGCCAGGCAACGAAACCCACAGCAGCTAAATCGTCGGGCAGTCAACAAGCATTGTGGCATATTTTTACTTTTTTCGGTAATGAAACATTTAAAATAGATTAAAATTTGATTAAGAGTAACAACTCATTAAGTAATTATCAGAAAACCATTACAATTTGTTTGTTTTTTATAAAGTTCTGCCCCATGCTAATGTTTAGTATACGAAACTCTTAACATCATGGATTTAGCTGTTCCAGTCATAAAAATTCATTGAAAATCAATATACTTCTTCATCTCAAGACCTTAAACTCTGGAAGTTTCTCACATGAAAATGTGGGCGTAGAAAAATGCAAATGATGCATTGTTACTTTAATACTAATAATTATGATACTTATAAAACATTCATTTTGTCATCTGACGAAGTAAACTCAAGTCTCTTAGTCCCTTCTCAATAATATTTGCAGTCATAAAAATTCATTGAAAATCAATATACTTCTTCATCTCAAGACCTTAAACTCTGGAAGTTTCTCACATGAAAATGTGGGCGTAGAAAAATGCAAATGATGCATTGTTATTTTAATACTAATAATTATGATAATTATAAAACATTCATTTTGTCATCTGACGAAGTAAACTGAAGTCTCTTAGTCCCTTCTCAATAATATTTGCAGGAGAGCTGCAAGACTCCCATGCTAAAATTATTTTGCTTTATAAACCATGTTAATTAAGCCTTAATCTAGAGGATAAACTAAATCTAAATTTTGAAATATACACATACGCATAGGAGCTGGGTGGGATGGTTAGGGGGGTGAACCATCCATTTTTGGACAATGTGACGGACGGATAGATGGACAGACACATTTTAATAGTCTAGCTTTGAAAGGCGGGGACAATTAAAAATAAAGAACTATCACTGCTTTGTGGAAAATTCATTTGAGTTAAATGATTCATTCTGAAATTTCAGCTGACAAAGAAAATTTTCAGGCAAATAGCCTCAGACCCCGCCCCCCCGCCCCCCCCCACCCCGAACTGAGATTGGCCCCCAATGCCTATGGTCATACAGAAAAATAACAATAGCAATATAAATTATAATGGGTTAACTTGAAATATAAAACATACCGTGATACAGCCCCTGAGAATATTCTATCTATAACTCGTAACGATAAGGCTGAAAATAAACAAAACATATGTATTATCATAGTGTTAGACAACAAAACTAGGTGGACAGAGAACAAGTTAAACAAGCATTTGCCATACAAGATACACCCACATTTTGCAAGAGATGGCCAGAGAACAAGCTAAACAAGCCAACAGTGAGGCTGATGTCCCCCACTGCAATCCCAAAATAAATAGATGAAACATATTAATTAATTGCACATTTATCTTTTTGGAAAGTATCGAGCAACCAAACTGATTATCTACACTTAATCCAAGCAGAAAATGTTCATGATCGAACTCAGTCATGGTTTTGAAGTACCTGGTAGAGGAACTCTTACAATAAGTTTCATCACTATACATTAGTTAGAATCTCGAGAGAGAGAGAGAGAGAGAGAGAGAGAGAGAGAGAGAGATGGGTTTTAATGTCCACTCGACACACACTAGGTCATTTCAGGACTAACACATGCTTTAATTTTATTTCAATAATTCGCTTCCGCGTAGGGGTCTTTAGCTGTGGGAGGAAACGGGAGGACCCGGAGAAAACCCACAAGGTTGGACAGGCGACCATACTCCTTGTCACGTACAACCGGGAATTCGAAACCATGTCAGTTAACTAAATGACACCCCTTATGATACAGCGCGCATGTGCTAACCATGCGGCCATCCACCTCCCTAAGTTAGAATCAAAGTTATCTTGACCCAAATAATTGACTAATGAAATTGCTTAGCTCTGCTCATCCTCGGTATCCCCAGTGGTTTCATTCCATTCTACTCCACTAACCCCTAGGTTAATCTATGGCAGGACACGTTTTCAAGTTATCCGCCCTTGATAAATGTGCTATTTTTATTGACCAATCCCATAAATCATTAATTACAAAGGAAGCTGGCAAAGGGAAGTAACTCTCATCAGACAAGGTTAGGAGTTAGCCTAAATGAGAGAAGTCAAAATTATGCTAAATGCATATTTATTAACAACAAATTATATAATATTATATTAATGAAAACCGGACGTTTATGTAGGTTCAAGAGTTTTATTGTGAATCAATCGTTCGTTTGCAGAGTTTTACGTCCATGTGATATCGCAGACAAGTTATTGTGAATCAAATTGCCAAATATACATTAAATAATAATAAACATAACAGAATGAAACATTTCATTGCCTATTGAGTTTTTTATTTTTTTAATTAGTTTTTATCAATGATCTTGTCTACGACTTCAATATATATGACTATTAAATTTTTCCAAAACCATTTGAGGCCATGAGGAATTTATTTTGAGAAGTAGCTTTTGCTATATGCTAAAACATATAAATTTCATGATGCTATATCTCACCCACTGCGGGGCCGAGGACAATTCTATTAATAGTGGAAGTTGAGGACTACTAATACTAATATATAGTTTTGATAAATTGACTGGCACATATTTCTTTCAGATGAAATTTGATAGTCGAACTTGAAGAAAATCACTTCATTTCTGACATCATTTTTCCAATAAAATCATACATTGCCTGGATTATTAGGCCTGATAATGCCCCGCGCAACCGTTTTCCAGCAACCCAATGTAGGGCCAGTACAGATAATTCAGGAGTTCCACAAGGATCAGTCCTTGGACTTGTCCTTTCTGTAATGTATACTAAGAATTTAGGACAACTAATCATGGTTAATCATGGTTTCTAGGACGACATTCTTATGCAGATGACACACAGCTGATTGCAAATTACTCCTTTTCAAAAACTGTACCATCCCCTAATTATTCTGACATCAAATTGTGTTCAAGTGACATTAAAGGTAGGATAACAAGAAATATGTTAAAATTAAATGTAATTGAATTAAGTATATCAAAATGTATTTTTTTTGGCCCAAATACACATCTGAAAAATACAAGTTCAAATGATTCGGTTTTACGAGATGCAATACTTGTACCATGAGACACTGTGAAGAACTTAGGATAGGGTTCAATTTAAGCATGGACAATCACATTAGTGAAAATTGTCGAAAATGTTATCTCCAGTCCAGGAACATTGGCCATATAAGACACTTGATTATCAAGGAAGTAGCTGCTACACTTGTATGTTCTTTGAAGGATTGGCTACTGTAACAGCTTGTTTGTAGAAACATCTGGTGCCAATATTAAAATAAATCAACTTGTACAAAACACAGCAGCCCGAATTGTTATCAGATCATCAAAATTCTCTTATATTACTCCCATTCTGGAATCACTCAAATGGTGGTCAATAAATGAAAGAATCATCTTCAAAAGTCTGTCTTTGACGTATCAGTGTGTGCAGGGGCACAGATTGCCAAAAATTAGTGGTGGGGACAGTCCATGCTCAGGCGACTATTAGTAAAGAAGGGGGGGGGGTCCTGCCCTGAAATGTTTTGAAAACTAGACGCTCTAAAACGCACTCTGTGGGTATTTTCAGCATCATTTTCTGGCAAACAATTCTAATCCCTGAGGCAGCATTTAATAATACGAAATCTAATCTAAAAACAAATCTTCAAGACACCGTTCACGATTTATTCTCTCGTGTACACTACAAGAACTAGAAATATTTACACTACTGAGATTCCAGCTCCGCCTCCATTCCCAGTAGTGTTCTAAGACTATGTAAAGTCTTTGAGCAAAATGTGTATTCAATTGGATACACAAATGTACAGGCCTACAAATCTTTTCATTTATATAAACTAAAACAAGCCACACACACAGCTAAACATATCAATATTCAATCCCAATTGAAATAAATGTAACATTTTACTGTATTATTCATTGGTGATTAAAAATCTGATGGCAAAGGTGAATTTCCCCACGTTAAAATTCAAAAATGGTGACCACATCGAAATAATAACTTTTTGCTTTTTTTAAAGTTAAATCTAGCTGTTTATATTGTTCCCATAGCTATTTTAATGATTCACATAGTACCAGTTGTATTATATTATCTATTTTGAATGTGACAGTGGTAATGTTATGTTAGAAATTGGAATTTTATAATTTGCGTGATTTATCATCCAGTATACCAGATAAAAACATATTATTATAATCCCTATGGAATATTTTAATTATTTACTGTTATAATATGAATTATCACTTATTCCCTGTTAAATAAAAATCGGTTACCGGGTGCAGCTGCACAACTTCAAGGACCCTGGCCTCAAGTGCCTGGGACCAACTCTACACTTTCTGAACTGTCAATAAAAGCTCTGGAATGATTTCAGTTTCAAAAAATAAACAGTAAGCAAAACATCGGAAATAAGTGGTGGGGACACAGTATATCATGTCCCCACCACTAAAAATATTGGTGGGGATGCGTCCCGGTGTCCCCACCGGGATCTGCGCCCATGAGTGTGTGGATGGCTTAGCACAACCTTATGCAAATACAAGTTCCCTCATGTTATCTCCGACTGGGCACACCTTCATCAGTTAATTGTGTTGCTCAAGGTGGAAATTAAAATCACTTGGATATGAATCGTTCTCGGTGAATGCACCTAAACTGTGGAACAATCGTCATTAAATCATCTCAAATTCTTTCTGGTTTTAAATCAAGACTTAAAACCCATCTTGTTATCAGGATTAAATAAATTAATTTATTTGTATGTGCAGTGAACATGCCTCTGTGCATGGAATATGTGTGCTGTATAACTGTACATATTATTATTATTATTATTATTATTCGATAGGCCAAAGTTTAAACTGGGTCTTCCAAAACCTTTGGACAGTGATTTAAGGTATTAAAAACGGTGAAAGTATTGTTCGTCTCCAAACAGTATTGTTAACATTATAGCAGTTTTGATAGCCTCGTTTGTCACGCAATTGGTTTTTCTGCAATATTCTGCTATGCACTTGTTAATTGGGCGTAATAAATTTCGCGTTCATGATGTAACATATTTGGAACTCTGTTTAAACCCGAATGATATTGTTACACAGTTAGATATTGGTTATTAATCAGAATATTGACCAGTCATAATTTGGAACAGAAATTTGCTTTCATTACGGCAGTATTGAGTGGGAATAGGTCTAATTAAACGAAACACTACGAGGAGTATGCTACAACAGTGACCTTACGCGCATATACTATTTGTTTTTTTTTCTTTTTGAAATATCACTTGATTCATTTGTCAAATATATAGAGATGGCTATATGTCAACCATGCTTGTATAAATTACACTATTTAGTTTTTACGATTTGCTGTTCAAAAATTCATCATCCCTCTACTAGATCCTGAGATTATATTGCCAAATTAATAAAATGTTTCAAATTAGTCTAGAGAGATTAATTATATTTACCAAGAACAGTTCTTTTGGCATTTACAGTAAATTAAGCTTTTCAAACTTCAACATTTAAAAATTTTAACGGTGTAATTGTGAGCTCACTCAGTTTTCATGATTAGATACTTATCAGGCAGATAGATAGATATATTTGAAACACTTATTGGTAATAAGTATTTGTAGTTCTGATAATGGAACATTTTTTAAACGTTAATTATTTGATGCATATATGATGCGTTTATATTTATGTTTATTTCTATTTCTATTATGGCTTAATGGAACTGGAACCCAGATTAATTTGGTTTCCAGTGCCTGTTACACGTTTCAGTGTATAAATAAAGTGGGGTTTTTTTTCGTCATTTTTGGTGAAAATCATTATTTTTGGACAAACATGGAGATTATTTACAACTAAACAAGTTGAGTGCCACCCAATTTTTTTCTTGATCATATACACTAGATATTTGCCTTTTCAGTCAGCATTCCAAAAACATTCTTATACCCGCAGTGGGTGAGATATACATGTAGATAGAATAAAATGGCATATCTAAATTGAGCTATTTTGGTACCTTGCAGCACTTAGTCCCTATACCAAAAACCTCTCAATGAAAGTCCATCAAACTTTCAGAATGTATACTCATTAATCATATCTTCTATCCTATAAAGTTTCATTAATCAACTCCCGTAGTTTAGTTGTACCCCATAATTGAAAAATGGCCTGAAAATGATGATTTTGGGGCTTTTTTCAATCTTAAAATTTCAATTTTTTTTCTACACTTTAAAAATGGTTCGATTGGTCTAAAATTGTGGCAGTGGGGTTTTGAGGGGTTAGGATTTTTCGTCTCATGATCTCAAACACTATGTATAAATTTAAAGTCAATCAGATATAACTTTTGCCTCTAGAGCATCCACAAGATTTTTTGAAGTGATCAAGGGCCATAACTCTGGCAGTAATTTAAAAATTGGAAAAATTCAACTAAATGATTTGAAAAGCCTGACGTAAAGCTTTTTAAATGTGACTTTGATTTTAAAATATTTTTGAACCCTTTGGACAAGTAAAATAGGATTTAATGGATAATTTACACAACAGGTGGAACACTAACACATCTAGTACTTAGAATAAGGCTATTTTTTATTTTCTGGAGCTGTCAAGCCAGCAAGAGTGTTATTGTCCCTTTAAACACTGTATATAAATTAAAAGTCAATCGGATATTAACTTTAGCCTCTAGAGTGCCACAAGCAATTGTGGACGCCGGACGGAGGCGACGACAATATACGACCACATTTCAATGTGGCCGTATAAAAATTGTGACCTGTAGAGTGGCAACAAACAATTGTGGATGGACATACAGGGGCAAAGACAATATACGTCCACATGAAAATGTGGGCGTATAAAAACTAGATACTGTAAAGGGAATTTGCTGGAAATTTTAGTCAAATTGATCCACTATGAACCCAGATTTTAGCAATTGAATTTTCGGCCTAGGCTCTATCATCTTTACTAAAGTTGGTAGGATATAAAACATAGTCTTGATTATCCATTTCATGATTTAATTATGAATGAAAGTTGAACAGCAAATCGGAACCTATCGAGAGTTGATTATGGTTTGGATAAGTTAATTAATGTCTAATTAATAATTTAGATAACATTTCAGGCCTAAAGAAAGACCTACAATAGGCAGATTTAGATCTTGCATAATGTATGTGTAAGACACATTAAAATCGGATACAAATTGTGACCTCTAGATTGTCCACATGATAAAAAGTGATTTTTCGTACAATCAGGGGCCATGAAGTTACAGTTCAATTTATGCCAATATCAAAAGGAATCAAGATTTTGGGGATATAAACCTATATTTCAAGTTTCGTCAAAATCAAACAAAAACTGTGATCTGTAGAGTGTCCACAAACAAAATCTGAACAGACGTTCAGAAGGACAAGGGTGACAGCATAATACATCCACATGAAAATGTGAATCCAAATAAAAATAGAGAGAGAGGAATCCAAAACCATTTGATTTTAATAAAATAAACTTTGATGGGATCCAAATCATAATAAACCTGATACAGTGACACCAATAGGAGGAGTGGTTAAAAACAAAGTCATAGGTATCACAATACCATCTTTATAGCATCTAACAACTTACTTCCTCAGAGAACACAACTACAATGATATTAAAGATGGTTTTGTGATACCAATGACTTTGCTTTTAACCACATGAAAATGTGGGTGTTTAAAAATAATTATTAACCTACCATGATCATTGTGTCGGTATAAATCTTTCATATCTATATATAAATCATGATCTTTATCTAATTCCCAAAATTTACAATAAATAACATAAAAATGTTCATAAGAAAAATAATCTGTAACTTGATTTATATCATCGTCTTCTTCTAATCTTTCTAATGTCTGAAAATAAAGATAGGTTGCCAGGCAACGAAACATTCGCCCACAGCAGCTAAATCGTCCGGGAAGTCAACAAGAGTTGTCACATATTCTTACTTTTTTCGGTAATGAAACATTTATAATACACTAAAATCTGATTAAGAGCAACAACTCAAGCAGTACTTATCAGAAAACCATTAGAATTTGTATACAAAACTTTTAATATCATGGATTCAAAATTTATTGAAAATCAATATACTTGTTCATCTCAAGATCTTAAACTCTGTGTATCAATCTGAAGTCAATCGGATGATAACTTTAGCCTTTAGAGCGGAAATTGTTGAAAATCAAGGGCCATAACACTGGCGGTAATTATCGGGAATCGCTGAAAACCAATAGGCTTCTTCGTCTCATGACCTTAAACACTGTTTATAAATTTAAGGTCAATCAGATATTAACTTTGGCCTCTAGAGCGTCCACAAGATTTTTCAAAGTGATCAAGGGCCATAACTCTGCCAGTAATTATCGGAAATCGCTGAAAATCAATAGGCTTCTTCGTCTCAAGACCTTAAACACTGTGTATAAATTTAAGGTCAATCGGATATTAATTTTGGCCTCTAGTGCGTCCACAAGCAATTGTGGATGACGGACGGACGGGGGCAACGACAATATACGACAACATTTCAATGTGGGCGTATAAAAACATAATAAGATTACATGTCAGGTCATAAAATGTTACTATATTGAACCAGCGGCTGCCAGGCAGGATACGCCCACATTTTCGAGAGACAGATAGAGAACAAGCTAAAAAGAAAGTGATTTTTCGTACAATCAAGGGCCATAATTCAGGAAATTACCGTCCAATATGTGCGAATATCTAAAGGAACCGAGATCTTTGGGTTATAAACTTACATTTCAAGTTTCAACAAAATCGGATAAAAATTGTGACCTCTATAGGGTCCACAACCTTGATATACCATATTTTTACGCTATTTGAGAACGAACGGCGGCCATTTTGTCTGTCACTTTTGGGCCGATTTTCAAGAAATTCGAAATCAGTCGTCCTTAGGGTGTAAAGGTGATAGAATAATACGGGTTTTTAAAATCGGATAAAAATTATGACTTCTATAGGGTCCACAAGCTAAAAACGCGATTTTTCGTACAATCAGGGGCCATAATTCAGGAAGTTTTGATCCGATACATACCAATATCAAAAGCAGCCGAGATCTTTTGGAGATAAACCTATATTTCAAGTTTCGTCAAAATCGGATAAGAATTGTGACCTCTAGAGTGTCCACAAACAAATTGTGGACGGACGGACGTCCAGACGTCCGGACAGACAGGGGCGACGGCATAATACGTCCACATGAAAATGTGGGCGTATAAAAACATAAAATTATTCCATTTCAATTCTAAACAAAATCATTAGTGGTTCCAAGCATGTTTGCAAAATTTTTCTAAAAGTCGTTATCATTATTTTATTTTTGTTAAAAGAAAGAAACAAATGGACAATCGCCTTTAAATGATAAAACATATGCCCACAGCAGCTAAGTCGTCCGGGTAGTCAACAAGGGTTGTCACATATTTTTTTCTTTACCAATGGTAAAATGTTTATTTTGTCTTAAATATTGGATATCAAAAGCCCATCTTTTTCCGGTAAGATCACAACATGAATGTTGATTTAATTTGACAAATAAATCGTGTTTTCAATGTTGAAGATTTTGGATGATATTGAGTTAGAGACTTAGCTACTTTAAGTAATTATCAGAAATCATTTGGGTTCTAGTTCTTCCCTATACCAACGTTTAGTATACAAAACATTTAATATCAAGGGCCATTACTCTGGAAGTAATTATCGGAAAGCATTAAAATCAAAAGGATTCTTCTTCTCATGACCTTAAACACTGTGTATCAATTTAAAGTCAATCGGATATTAACTTTAGCCTCCAGAGCATCCACAAAGTGATCAAGGGCCATAACTCTAGCAGTTATTATTGAAAATCATTAAAAATCAAAAGGAGTCTTCGTCTCATGACCTTAAACACTGTGTATCAATTTAAAGTCAATCGGATATTAACTTTAGCCTCTAGAGCATCCACAATATTTTTCAAAGTGATCAAGGGCCATAACTCTAGCAGTAATTATTGAAAATTGTTAAAAATCAAAAGGATTCTTCGTCTCATGACCTTAAACACTGTGTATCAATTTAAAATCAATCGGATATTAACTTTAGCCTCCAGAGCATCCACAATATTTTTCAAAGTGATCAAGGGCCATAACTCTAGCAGTAATTATTGAAAATCGTTAAAAATCAATTGACTTCTTCGTCTCATGACATTAAAACTGTGTATAAATTTAAAGTCAATCGAATATTAGAGCGCCCACAAGATTTTTCAACGTGATCAAGGGTCATAACTTTAGCAGTAATTATCTGAAATCGTTAAAAATCAATAGGCTTCTTTGTCTCATGACATTAAACACTGTGTATAAATTTAAAGTCAATCGGATATTAACTATAGTCGGCTGTCCGGATGGACCGACAGGTAGGGCGACAACAATATACGACAAATTTCAATTTTGGCATATAAAAATCATATTAGATGCGAAATAGATTTAGTAAGCAACTTTTTTGATGTACATAAAACTTACTTGTAAAAAATTACTTTTCCGTAATTCATTAGCCGTTAATTTACCAGACCATGACCGATTGGCACAAAAATATATTCTAGATATAACCTGGAAATATCACAAATATATCAATTATTATAAATTAATAGGATTAATATACCGGGAAAATATAGAATTTGGTGAAAACATGTCTTTTCCAGGAAAAAATCAATATAAAGCCGCTGATGGTCATTATAATTTTTTAGATAATATCTAATTTTTTACTGTCTAATCTATGCTAAAGCGTACTCAAATTGTTTATTGAACATTTAATTACGGAAACAGAAATATAGCCACGCAAAGGGGGGAATATGTCCACACAGCAGCTTTGTCTCAACTGAAGCTTATCCGAGAGGTTCTGATCTCATACTAAGGCCATATTCCTGAAGTAATGGTCAGAGAAATCCCTCTCTGTCCATTGCTGGATTGGCTTCTGATACTTGGGCTTTTGAGGGAGTGTGTGTATTCTTCCGGTTCAATCAAATCTATCCCAAGTACAGCAACATGACAGCGCTTCGTTAAATCTGGGGTCTTCGCTAAAACTTTGGACAGTGATCAAAGGTATTAAGACAGGTTGCCAGGCAACGAAACAGGCCCACAGCAGCTAAATCGTCCAGGCAGTCAACAAGAACTGTTGCATATTTTTACTTTTTTTTGTATACTTGTTTGTCTCTGTGTATCAATCTGAAGTCAATCGGATGATAACTTTAGTCTCTAGACAGTCACAAGATTTTTCAAAGTGATCAAGGGCCATAACTTTGGCAGTAATTATCAGAAATTGCTGAAAATCAATAGGATTTTTCGTCTCATGACCTCAAACACTGCGTATAAATTTAATGTCAATCGAATATTAACTTTGGCCTCTAGAGCGTCCACAAGATTTTTTTAAGTGATCAAGGGCTATAACTCTGGCAGTAATTATCGGAAATTGCTGAAAATCAATACGCTTCTTCGTCTCATGACCTTAAACACTGTGTATAAATTTAAAGTCAATCGGATATTAGCTTTGGCTTCTAGAGTGTCCACAAGATTTTTCAAAGTGATCAAGGGCCATAACTCTGGTAGTAATTATCAGAAATCGCTGAAAATCAATAGGCTTTTTTGTCTCATGACCTTAAACACTGTTTATAATCAAATCAATAGGCTTCTCCGTCTCAAGACCTTAAACTCTGTACATCAATCTGAAGTCAATCGGATATTAACTTTAGCCTCTAAAGCGCCACAAGCAATTGTGGATGCCGGACGGGGGCGACAATATACAACCACATTTCAATGTGGGTGTATAAAAATTGTGACCTGTAGAGTGTCCACAAACAATTGTGGACGGAAAGACGTCTGGACAGACAAGGGCGACGACAAGAGCTTAAACACTGTGTATAAATTTAAAGTCGATCGGATATTCACTTTGGCCTCTAGAGCATTTACAAGATTTTTTGAAGTGATCAAGGGCCATAACACTGGCAGTAATTATCGCAAATCGCTGAAAATCAATAGGCTTCATCGCCTCATGACCTTAAACACTGTGTATTTTCACAAGTCGTCCTGCACGCTTCATTTTCGTGATGACAACTTCAACAATGAGCTCGACAAGCAGAAACTTTCTACTGCTCTCGAATTGGACATAAAGAGAAATGGGGTTTAACTTCCACTCGACACAAACTAGGTCATTTCGGGACTAACACGCTTGTGCGTAGGGGTCTTTAGCAGTGGGAGGAAACCGGAGGACCCGGAGAAAACCCACGAGGTTGGACAGGCAACCCTATTCCTTGTCACATACAACCGGGGTATCGAAACCCTGCCAGTTGACTCAATGACAGACCGTATGATACAGCGCAGCACGCACGTGCTAACCATTCGGCCATCCAATCCCGCCAGAATTACTCGAACCAATGAAATGTCAGAATGCAAAAAATGCTATTTTAAGCTTAACTTACCTCATAGCGCCTTAAAGGGGCGATAGTGTAAAACCAGGGCCCTTATTCACGAAAACTTAAACTAAGTTACAACCGAAATTTTAAGAAATACTGCAGCTTCATTGGATATGTGCAAATTGATTTTACTGGTCAGCCAATCGAATTGCAGTATTTCTTAAAATTTCGATTGTATCTTAGTTTAAGTTTTTGTGAATAAGGGCCCAGGAATGTTATCTATCACATTTAGTGCGTGATGACAATTTTACTCTAAATACTTTGTCCGTAGTTTTACGCTTCACTTTGTATGCATAAAATTGCATTTAATACAATGGTAGGTCAGGTAATTTTGCACATGTCGCCTCGGGTAGGTAGGGGATGTTCGGACAGGCTAATCAAAATAAGCAACCTGGTAAAATATAGGTTGCCAAGCAACGAACCATACGCCCACAGCAGCTAAATTGTCCAGGCAGTCAACAAGAGTTGTCACATATTTTTATACGCCCACATCTTCATGTGGACGTATATTATTGTCGCCACTGTCCGTCCGTCCACACTTGTTTGTGGACACTCTACAGGTCACAATGTTATCCGATTTCAGTGAAACTTGAAATAGGTTTATCACCCTAAGATCTCAGTTCCTTTCGATATTGGCATGTATTGGACTGTAACTTAAAGGATTATGGCCCCTGATTGTACGAAAAATCACGTTTTTAGCTTGTGAACACTGTAGAGGTCACAATTTTTATCAGATTTCTTCAAAACTTAAATGAATATTATATGATTTGTGTTGTGACGTCATAAATTGTGTTCACTTGGCTGGTCCAATCGCAGCAGTTGCCGCGTAAGTTGCATCGATGCAATGCAATTTTCCCGGTCTATTGATCATTCAATCTCTTGACAGCACTGAGTTCAGTCGATTAAATTTTTTCTTCTTCGTTTGAGGTTCCTCCTTTTGTCTCAAGGGATCGGTCCTTTCCTCCTGATACAATTTAAGTATGCTTTCGCATCGTCGTTTACAATACGTCAGCCCACAATATTAAGGTATTTAGGTCACCTTACTCTCCGCTCAACAAGTCCATCGAAGTGTGAAATTTCCATTTGAATTCGCCTTTTAAATTGATTAAATTTCTTATCAAAAAATACGAAATTATTATAAATTTCTTATTACAAAGGTTATGAGTTTATTATAAACGTAATTCTTTCATCTCGTCTCTATAATTTGGTTTTGAGAGTTTATTAAAATCAAAATGGCGTCCGGTGGATCTTGTTTGTTTTCCGTGGAGTGTAAGGAATCTGAAATGATTCCACCTTCTCCCTTTGTGGTCGCTTTATTTGGCACATCGCATGTAAAACGTTTGGATAGGGTTCTCAGTTCCAACAATGTCGCCAACTTAAACCTAGATCAAAGGCTTGTTTCTGTACGAGTGCGTGGTTACGGTGGCCTCTACGTAGTTAATGATGAATATAACCGTATGGACATTCAAAAACCAACCAACTTTTCTCACTTCTTGGGAGCCGACCTCATAATAGTGCAACTTGGTTCCAGTGATTTGGCCAACGGCATTCCAAAGGAAGCTCTATCTGCGGCAATAATTGAATACTGTTGTTGCCTCCAGTCTAAATTTAACCCCAAGGGAATTGCAATTTGCCAAACAATGCCCAGAAAAGTTGAATGCGATTCGTTTAATTTGTTAGTTAAACAATTCAATAGCCTAATAAGGAAGGATTGTGAAAAGCATGGAATTGTTTTTTGGAAGCATCGCTCTAGCATTCTGGACGTGGAGAGCGACACACTTTTCCACCCTACAGATGGTGTACATTTGTCGAATGATGAGGGATATCCTTTTTATCTTAAAAGTATACGTGATGCCATACTCAGTCTTATCAGGAGGTTTTGTCTGTAATTTGTAAGTATTTTTTGCTTAGCTCCAGTGTACTTGGAGAGTAAATTTAATTTTACCCCGGCGTACTTGGGGTCCCCCTGGTGTACTCAGGAATTTTCTAGTCAGGCTCCGGCGTACTTGGAGTGTTTTCCCCCGGCGTACTTGGGGTGTTTTTTAGTGTTATTTTGCTCCGGCGTACTTGGAGCGTTTTTTCCCCGGCGTACTTGGGGCGTTTTGTATTATTATTTTGATATTTGACTCTGGCGTACTTGCAGTGTTTTTTCCCCGGCGTACTTGGGGTTTTGTTAATATTTTGCTCCGGCGTACTTGGAGCTATTACCCCTGCATACTTGGGTTCTTATTTCTTAGTACTAGTTAGTTATTTGTGTGGGCTATCGTTATTTTTTATGTTGATCCACTCTGAGGCTGTTTTTTAATGTGACTCCTCACTTTTTACGTTCTAAAGGATGCCACCAAAGAAACGCCAAGTAGTTGAAGATGATTCAGAGGTGGATGAGGACATCCCCATGTCAACCACTGAAGATAGGTTGACAAATATTTTACTTCATAAGTTACAGAAGAAAGGTCTAGTTATGAAGTCGAGGAAGATGGATGCTACAGCAGCTAGCCAACCCTCATGCTCTAAGTCCAGCAATACCACAGTATCTACATCCACAGCATCTACATCCACAGCTTCTTCATCCACAGCTTCTTCATCCTCTGCACCTTCTACAAGTACATGTAGGCCTACAAATGTTGAACCCTCAACATCACATACAGCTCCTGACCTACAGAGCTCAAGTCCTGATACAAACCCAGTCCCATCCCTCACAGTCATGAATATTCCAGCTGCTCAACTCTTCCAAAACCAACCATTAGGTATTAATAATTTTCCTAACCTTCCTTCCGTCATTTCATTGTCATTCCACGTGTCAGACAAAATTAAGCAAGACATTTGGAGTGATAAATACATTGAATTTTCGTCTCTTCTTCCTGGAGCTGCTGCCGAAACCCAGTACTCATTAAGTATTAACAATCAAAACGCTTTGGCTCCCCTTTTGGTACAACCAGTCCCTTCAGAGTCAAAAATACTTACTATTGATAAATGGCTGAAGTCCTTCGCTATCTTCACTGATATTTATGTTCAAAGATATCCCCACCAGGTTTCTCACTTGTTAGTTTACAATAATTTAATCTCTGAACTAGCTCGGGTTTATGGACAGGCTCCATTTAACTTTTACGACGTGCAATTCAGGACTCTCCGCCAATCATT